TGTTATTTCATAATTAGAAAGGTCTTACACATTCACATTATCTTACAATAATTGTCCTTTGGCCTCCTCTAGTGCCTTTATGATTTTATTGATCGATTAAAATTTTTTTTCTGGTGTAATTTGTGAAATGTGTGCCCAATTTAATTTTTTCCAAATGATATTCAATTGTTCTAATCCCATGTGTTGATTTTATTTTTTTACTTATACAATGATGCTATCTATGAATAAAGGCAGTTTTTTTTTCTTTTCTTCTGAGCTTTATGCCTTTCATTTGTTTTTCTCACCTCATCATACTTGCTAAAACCTCTAGTGAAATGTTGGCTGAAGCGGGGGTAGGGGCGGGTGGAAGGGGGTTGCGGGGAGGCGGAGGGCATCTCCGCCTTGTTCTTGATCTTCCCGGGAGAGCAAACAGGTAGGCTATCAGCTGGGTATATATTGCCAAACTGCTCTCCACCAAGTTTATGCCAATTTGAACTACTCTGCAGTGTATGAAGTTGCCTGGGAAACCATAACCATTAAGTATGATGTTAGTTGTACATTGTAGATGGCCTTCATCAGATTGAGAAAGTACCCTTCTATTCCTAGTTTGTTGAGAGTTTTTTGTCATGAATTTTGACAAGTGCCTTTCTCCATCTATGGAGATGATCATATTTTTTTGTGTGCCTTTATTCTGCTAATGTGGTGAATTATATTAATTTATTTTTAAACATTAAATCAACCTTGCATTTCTGGAATAAACTCCACTTGGTCACGATTATTATTATTTTTATACATTTCTTGATTCTATTTGCGTATACTTTGTTAGGATTTTTATATTATGTTCCTGAGGGATATTAATTTGTAACTTTCTTTTCTTATAATGTGAATTGATTTGAGATACCGCTTTAGTCACATACCAAATTTCCATATATGTCTGAGTCTATTTCAGGATTTTATATTACATTCTGTTCCATTAGTATTTGTCATTTCTATCTCATTATTGTTAATGGATGCACTGTTGGATATGTAGGAATTAGGTTATTACTGGTGTCCTGCTATTATAGACAACACTGTAATAAACAATATTTTGGCTACATTTTTTTCCCACTCCATGATTATATCCCTGGAATAAATCCTTAGAAGTTGAATAGCTGGGTTATGGGCAGACATAATTTTAAGAATTT